GTTAATTCCATGTAATTTCCATTACATTTCATGTAATCCCCATGATCCATGGATTCGCTCATTGGGGCAAAGTAAATTGTAATCTTACACAAGTTACACTTTGATACACTTTGACAAGTGAATTCACAAGTTAGCAAGTAGTTAGAGGAGCATTTCCCCCCCTTTAGTAACTCTTTATTGAGGGAAATTATGTAAAATCCTAAGAACAAAATACCAAGGCAGAGTTAAAGGAACAGTACAAAGAAAAGTCCATGTAGCTATTAATACTAACTAATGCGAAGTAGCTAAAGCCTGCCTGAAAAGTTGCTAGATGTGGCTAGATTATGTCACACGTTAGTTTACATACCATTACTGTAGAGTCTCACACAAGGTGGTTTTCCAAACCAATATCCTCACATTAATATGCATCTAAATACCTTTAATTTCATAAACATTCACAGCTCATCCACATTTCTGTCTGGCTGATGATGCTCTGCCCCACTCACTGAAAAGACACTCCGGGGAGCCTCAGCCACATGAGAGCACATCCACTGAGGGATGTTGTCAACTAAGGTCTGCCCAGATTTGTTGCTAAGCTCTTAAAAAGGTCGTCAAATATAGTTAAAAATACCTGAAATTGGCAATACTGAAGCTAGTGTAACTGACTAGTTCTAGCATGTCAGCTTTCCAGCTATAGTAATTCTGTTAGCCCTTACTTAATTCCACACCAAACTTCTAGAACAAAATATTTTTGCAAATGTGCAGATTTTTCTGTGCCTGGTGTGACCAGGCCTGAACTCTGCCCTCATACACATAGGATAAGAGACGAATAAACATCCTTGGCAGGAATGCAAGCTATTCCTTTAACTTGTTTGGGACTGTCTCAAAGGGTTGGAATTGCAAAATAGGTAATGTTGACTGTGATGAGTGTTCTAGGTTTGTTTATAATGCATCAAAAAGCGTAAAAGCCTCTCTTTGAATGTAATCTCAAAATCAACAGCACTGCATCCTGCTGCTACAGAACAAAAGTGGATGACAGCTGTGCCAACAACAACATGAGAAAAATTGTCATGGATATCATGTGACAGGCAGGAACCGACAGCTACTGTACATGAAGGTCCAGTCAAATGCATTTATGCTAATCCCCTGGCTATTCTCAAAAGGCATTTTTACATACATTACTAAATGAAATCCATCTGAACTGTAAAGCCCTCATGCATGCCACTTCCCTACCACGCAGCTTTAAATACAGATTGTCATTGGACACGGTCAGTTATCCTCATTGGATGCAGCTGCTGCGCATTCTGGATAAACAGTTACACAATTTTAAGGTAATAAAAATACTGGGCATCAGAGTAGTTTAGCTACTTCAACACTTCACATCACTGATTGGATGGAGACACTGCTTTCCTGCATGCGTTCAGTAACGAATGAATTAACGTAATTAACAAATCTATAGCTTAACTCTAGGACACTCTGCACATACAGAAAATAGACTTGAGTAAGGACTGAAGAGATTTTGTGTTTTACCTATTTTGTTGAAGCTAATTTTCTCCGTGTTCCTTTTTAGCATGAGTACTATCTGTACAACTGCAATCTAGTTTTTTTTTGTTCTTTTATGTCTCATTATTAATATTTTTAACCATTTTTTTGGCATTGAGAAAATTTGCTAGGGACTGGTAAGTAGGCTTCATTAGCAGCTGGCTGAGGCTGCTCATACAGAGAAGGCTTAATGGATATATAATGTTTATTAAATCTGATGAATGTGACATGATAACTGGCCTTTTATCTGTTCTGTCCGACATGCATTAGTAGGTGATCCTTTACATGTTTGGGATATTTTTGGAAGCTTTGTGCATAGCTTTTACTATATACTTCACTATCATTTCACCCAGAGCACATTCATTTAAGAAGAATATTAAACAATACAAAATACAGAGAAATATATAATTTACCCAAAGATACACCTCTATCATTAATTTGATACATATTCCCTCGATTGGGATGGGATGCAAAATGAGCCTCAATTAAATAATACCTAACAAAGATAATCACAGTTATATACGTTGACAGCAGCATGATGATTTGTTGTCAGAATCATACTACTGACAGCAAATTCATTTTCATCTGGAAGAAACTAACTCTGCAAAGTCATACTCGAATCTTGTAGGCGGCTACCAGGTGTAGTTACAGAAGCTCACAAGTAATATGTCAGATTCTGCGGTATGTCCCCGTTTTCCTACTGTCCTCAAACAGGTAAACCAAATGAATATGAATTGAAATGAGTCACTTCCATCTGTGTAAGTGAAGTGGTTAAGATCTAACTATCACTATACTGTACTATAGAAAATGAATTCACCTTAAAGTTGAATTTTTTATTTCATACATAAGGATCGAGATTTACTTCCATCACTGATATTTTTCTTATTAGAGAGTTATTACTACTGTGCCAGGAGGGAAAGAGAGAAAGTTAATGAGCAAGGTTCAGACGGCATCTGTGTAGTAGAGCAGTTAATTAAATGATACATTGTGGGAAAGGTTTTGTGAGTCAAAATAAAGATAACACATTTATGTTATGTTATGTAAATAGCTCTTATTGACATCCACTAAACCCCTATTTGCAACCTTAAATAGACACAGCAGGCCTGTCAGACTTGATTTCTCCCCATGTTGAAGAGGCGAGTATGTGGTGATAGAAAAATACTTGTGATTTAACGAATTTGAACTCTGGTACCTTTCCGTAGCCTCTCCAAAAACAAAAGTAAAACTGTAAGGAAAAAGAGTTAAATTACCCTGCCAAGAATACAACACGTTCTTACTCCCAACTCAACTTATACTGCCACTTGGTCAGTGGCCCTCCACTTTAAAAACTATATGATGCTGTAGGTATGCCTCTAGTTTAATTTCCAGACGTGCAAGGCTCTGTTGTCAAATAAGACGATTGGCTTCCCACTTGTGATGTCACAAAATCCTGCTGGTATGTCCACGTTAAACTGAGACTTAAAGTAACAACAGAGAAACTTTACACCTTCACCAGATGAATGTGAAAACTCAACTTCTCATCATATTAAAACATTATATAGACTAAATAATATATGTATAGACTTAAAAACATGCAGAAATGCTCAAAAACAAATCCAGGTCAGGCATAGACTAGAACAATTTAATGTTTAAGAGGCACAAAGAGAGATGCAAAGGCACGTCTTGTCCTTGGTGCCCCTCTCTGGCGGACATCTTCACTAGTTTCATATTCATCACAGTCTCTGATTTTGATGTTGCGTTTGAAATTTTGAATGAGCAATGAGCAATGAGCAATGAAGCGAGCCAAGAAACAAAAACACCGTTCTTCAGATTTTCATCCATCTTCAAGGAAAGCAGACATGGCCAAAGTCGATGCTCGTAATTGTACTACATTTACATTTATATCACATATTTCTGTAAAATAACCTAGGGAGGGTTGAATTAAATACAAACTGCCATAATTATACCCAAAATTTCACATTTCAAATACTGAGTGGATGAGTTTTGGCTCTTATGGGGTACCTATAAAATGAAATATATTCTTTAAAAGTAATTTTCATTAAGGGGAGTCTAAGAAGTCAAATCACAGCTGTCATCCTAATGAACTCCAGAGAATTGCGTTGCTTGGGCTCCAATAAGAGCCCAGAGGACCAATCAGTGCTTCTCTTTTACTTCACATTAGCATCAATTTGGCATTTCAGCTCTGAAATGAAAACAGGACCAAACTACTTTTATTAAGTGATTGGACCATTCCAATGCAATAATATAATAATGTGGTAGTTACGCATAGTACTGAGCATAATACCTATTCAATTATAGCTGCGATAATAATGACTGTAATAATATTATATGTAGTATTTTATCTGTTGCTGTATTTTTTTATGCAATGTTTTCCTCTATGTGTTCTGATTTTACATACTACTTAGCACTGATCCTGTGAAAACAGTTGTACACTGTCTTTTGTGCTTTGTCTAGAGGAATCTGAGAAAATCCCCCTGCTGATGTAATCAGGTGTTAAGATTTTTAAACGATGATTTACACTCAGTGTTGACTAATTTGCACTGTGTTTAAACCAAGTGTGAACCTATCGTGACATCACCCATTGGTTTGTGGAGTACCATTTTGAAGCGTCCAGTTTGGTGTTTTGGTCGTCGCCATGAGGAGCCAGAGGTGACGTACTGCGAGTTGATCTGCACTCATTGGCTGTGCAGTTTTGACTTGTCCGTACCAGGAAACAATGGTGGCTCGCTTGGTCACACACAATCTCATATTCCAGATAAACAGTACACTAAAATATGTTCCTGAAGCGATTTTAGGTGAAACTTATGCAACGCAGTAACAGAATCTGGATTCATGTATCAGCGTTCATGTTACACACTGGATTTTTAAGTTAGCCTGTATTACATACAGTAATGATTATTCAATCTGGTTTTATGTCATATTGCTGTGTAATGAAGCTCAATGATGGTAAAACCGCGTGTTGCTAAAAAAGCTGTTCATAAACCATAATGTCGTCTGTTGTCTCTTCAAAAGACTGGTGAGGTCCGGTTTCTCCACTCTGCTAACCTTTGTCAGATTGTTCATGGATCTTTAATCCAGCCGCAGACCGGTTTAATACAGTAGCACAGTAACAGGATTGGTGATGTTAACCCCCAGGGACATGGCTGCCAGCTGTTCCACCCCCCTGGTGGTGGGTCATCACATACAGGGCTACTGATGGGTGGAGCATGGTGGGAGGGGATGCCTGAAAAGTGAGAGGATCTTCTTAGCTTAGTGCAGATTGCCGCAGCGACTGGACGAGAGGGATGCTGAGCCCACCGGTGCTTTAAAACATCACGGAGGAGTGGATATTTCACACAGCGTTCCATCCGGTCCTGGAGTTTATCTTCATTCACTCTTTTTTTTTTTTTGCTTCTGTCTTCCTCCTCACACCTGGATTTTAGGCTTTTGGTTGGGTACATTTATGGGTTGCTGGTAGGACGCAGGACAGGTGACTCACGATGGCCGTGGCTTTGGATGCAGTGTGGGTGAGGGTGAAGAACGTCTGCAAACAGAATGGGCTCCTCATCATGTCAGTGCTGGCTGTGGTCATTGGATGCCTTTTGGGATTCTTCCTAAGGACACGGCGTCTCACAGAGCAGGTCAGTCTGTCTCCTCCCCCTGACCCAGTGTGACGTCATGCAGGCAGAAGATGGGGTTTGAGAGAGAATCTTTGCCCTGTGCCTGTAAAACCTGGAGCATCACACTGAGTGCTTCTTCTCATTTATTCTCCTATTTTACTGTGTTTTTTTTACCACATTTTCACACTGCGAAAAGTGGTGATTATTTCATCATTATTTGCATATTTTAGCCCTTTTTCAAGAGTTCATGTAAACTGTTTATTTTCTAAATCATATCATTGTGCTTCTGGATTATATTTCTGCTGCAGTGGCAGAAAGTAATTAATTTAAGTACTTTACTCACTGTACACTTTTTTATGATACTATGTTTTTATTTGACAGCTTTTGCAAGGGTCAGGGGCCAAATTTATTTAAGTATTTAAATAAATATATGCCTGGAATGACTACTTGCTGCATTTTTTTAATGTTAAAAGGATCTCAAAATGTATCTAATCAAAACTAATCAATTTAAACCGAAAATGAACAGAATTGCCGCATACCTGACACCTGTCTCAAAGTATCATCACATTGATGGACTCACACTGACTGTCGAGTGCCTGCACGTATGCGTAATTTCATGTACATGCCCTCTTTCACCATAGAAAGGCTTGGTGTCCACATATAGCACAGGTAGGGTAGAGGGCATCCCCCTGGGATCACCAATCTGCCAACCAGATATTTTGATTCCAATAACATATCTGTTCGGCAGGGAAGGCTATGCGCAAACAGAAATGTATTTATATTGTAAAAAAAAACACAGCAGAAGAAGAGCACTTTCTCTCTAGTAGGCCTTTTCCTGCAATAGGTAACCGGCTCTGTTCTGGTTCAAGTGCCTTACTTTAAAGCATACGGAGCATTTGGACCAAATTGGTTTAGAACCTGAAAAATTGATTTCCAGCCAGAAAGTTTTCCCTGGGAACGAAGTGGGTGAGTCGTATTCTACAAGTAGGTGTGTATTGTGCAGTGCACTCTGTTGATGATGTATCCATTTACAATTATTTCACCTCCAACCTGGTGGAAATTCAGACTGGTTTGCTAGATAGCACCAAGGTTCAAAGAATCTTGGAGCGAACCGGTTCAGGAACCAGAACTAATTTGGTGGAAAAGGTCCACCAAAATCAGGTCTATCAATGCATTGGGAGCCACTTGTGTCTTGTTGGGACCCCTTGTTCCATTTTATATGTCTATGAGTTGCTGGAAGTTCCCATTTCCCCTCTAAATTTCTCACATGGTTCCATATAAACAAGGACTTAGGAATAGGTCAAATTCTCCAATATTTCACTCAAAAACAAAAAGTCTTGTTTTTCTCTTCCTTCTAACTCCATTAATCATCTCGCAAGTCCTCAGATTTACCTGGTGACCCTTTGAAAGGTCCATATTACAGAATGAGTACTTTTTGTGATAGTGATAGAGTACATTTAGCTGACAATACTCCTGCTGTTTTAAATAACTTAAGTAACTTTATTTTAAATTCTAGTTAACATTTTCACAGTTACCAAATACAGCAGGCTGGGACAATGTGAAGAGCGGGTTTGTGAGACAAATCAAGTGAGCAGCTTCTAATTTAGTTGCAGTCTTTTTAGTCTTTAATCAAGCTTACAGTAAACACACTGACAACAACGCGTTGTTCTGAATGCAGCCACCAAACAGCTTTATGGAGGGGCTCCATAAACAAAGTGCAGCCTTTTCTTTCCCATCACCCCTCTGACTAAAGCTCTGTCATATTCTCAAAATGGCCTAAAAATAGCTTGTGGCTCCTTCACTCTCACAATAGGGGATTACAATCCAATCAAACAAATGCTTTCTCTAATTGTACATCAAATAAGAGTGCCTGTCAGTGTGACACACAGGAGGCACAGACCTTTATGTTTCCAGACAATTTATAGAGGCTTGAGGGTCGAGAGGGGAAGTGTGGGAGATCTGCGCCTGCCTGGCATTAGCAAAGTGAGAAGAGATGAAAAATGTCTTATTTCTGAGGAGAAGTCGCAGCAGCAGAAAGCTAAAGAATTAGCACAAATTAGAAAAAAGAACATTCATTAAAAACTATGGAACTTATGTAAAAGCCCTAAAGAGTTTCCACACAAGAACACGTTGAGTAGAAATGAATGGATGATGAATCTATGACATTAATCTGGATTATAGTATTAGGGCTACAGAATCACACCATCAGCTGCCAGTCAGAAGGACAAAGAAAGTGAAAGAGAAGAAACATTTAATTATACTGATGTGATAGAAAGTTGATGGTTTTTTTTTACATAATGTTGTCTAAACCCATGCACGTATAAAAAGTCATGTAGACATTTAAACATTTATTATTTAATAATTAAACAATAGTATATTGCATGAAGGATGGCACACACATTAAAGTTACAATATAAACAATATAAGAAAAGATATTTGAACAAAGTTAAAGATCCCCTACAGTCACACTACAAATAGTCAGCTTGGAACAATAATGAGTGTCTGATGTGTTTTTTTCCACAAAAAAAGTATAATTTCCTCATTAAAATCTTCAAGTCATCTACTTTACCACATTTAATTCTATAATCTATGAATATGCTACTTTATTTCATTTTTAAAGTTTTCCTGCTGGACACAAGATGTATCCTACTTCACTGTAAAGTCCATTCTCAGTGGATGTGCAATGGTAGCTTCAAGTGTCTTTTTTTGACCTAAATAATTAAGCCTACTTTTGAAGACAAATGTAAAACCTTATAAATCTCCTCCCTGGTCCAGATCTTCCCTGAAGCCAACGTAAATGAAGAGTCAGACTCAAGTTCCTATCCTGAAGACTTCCTATACAGGAGGGAGCGCCTCCCCTCTATCGTTGTGGAGCCCATGGAGCACAGCGAGCTGGAGAGCGGGGAGCTGCACTGGCCTCCTCGATGCCTAATGAGCAACAGCGTGGAGGAGGAAGAGGAGGACAGCAGTGCTGATCAGACAGAGGGCTCTATGGATGGAGAGCAGCAGGAGGACGTGAGGATGGAAGAAGGGTAAGGCCCAGGGTGTCATAAACTCTCCCTGCACACTCGACAGCATTTTGAGTCATATTGAGAATTACTGATTGATGCTGACTATACGATGCTAATATTTTGTGTCGCTGACAGAAAATCTAGATACATTTCATCCAGTGTTACAGACACTATTATCATTTTATCTGTCTTTTTACTATCGGTGCAATAAAAACTGGCCCTTTGTATTGACTTAAAGCTGCAGTAGGTAATTTTTTATGTTTGCTAAAACTTTAATTCTATCCTGACAGTAGTACATGAGACTATGCGGTTCCTCTGGCTCATCTTAGCATGCTGGTTGCTTTCATTCAGGCCCAGTGGATTTTTACAAATGCCATCAGCAACACTAGGAGGAGCCAGAGGAACCTGATTTTTCACAAACTATCTGTCTCATGTACTACTGCCAGGATATAGTGAAAGTGTCAGCAAATATGACAAAAACATTTTTAATGAACAATTACCTACTGCAGCTTTAAAAAAATGTTGAGTGAAGTGAATTCCAAAGTGTATGCAGATTTTTTACATTCTAACCTAAATAACCTCACTGTGTCTTTCCATTTTGCAGCCCAGTTGCCAGAAAGTCTTCTATTGGACCATCACAGAGTCAACTGTCCCTGTCTCGGCTGACCCCGCCTGCCTCCCCTACCCCCCCTGAGGCTGTCCCACCCTGCCTGAGGAGCTGAAGCAGTACAACCAGTATGGACTGATACCACTACAGTTCATCTGAACTGTGTGCAACCTCTATTAAAGTGTAACCTCTGCATGTCTGACTAACCCATTAAAAGAGAAACTCCCTTTGGGTAGGTTAAGATGCTTACACATGTAAAATCTTTGGACAAAATATGGTCCATTTCAAATACTAATCTGATTTCAGCACTGCCATTTTTGATTGAAACATCTAATTTAAAATAATCTGTGGTTAACTGCTGCACTTTGTATACTAAAGCAACAACCTCCAGGGCTCTGATCTGATCAGGTCTGAGGCAAGACATAGACAATACAGTAACATAATCGTGATTCATATTTGATCATCACTGCTTAGTTTAACAGCTTGATATGAGTTTGGTGCGGTGCACTCAATGGACTCAATGAGAATGACCTGTCAATCAAGTGTATGAATGTGTAAAATCATTTTTGATGGAATTTAGACCACGCTGGGACACTACAGCTCTAAATCCAAACCCTAATCATTAAAAAGATTTACTGCAACAGGTATAATGAGCTTATCCATGGATATACGTGTGCAGACCCATTAAAACGTTCAAATTCATTCAGGAAAGTTACATTATTGTCAGATGTAATATTGATCGCTTGTGTAACACACTATATAACAATTACAGGGATTAGATTCCATTCTTTACTGAAATGCTGCTGAAAATATCAACAATGCTTGGTGTGCTGCTTTTACCTCCAGCTTGGAGAAAACATCTTCATACATTCTGAGTATCCACAATTATTACAAAACATTTTAGAAATTTAAATGCATCCATTATATATGCATCATGTACTATGCTTGCTTTGTTGACTGATAATGGTGAGGAATCCTGAATATGATGAATTATTAAATAGTACATGCTGCTACAGAGTTGAATCCAGAAGTTGCTACTGATATGAGAAAACACTGTAGAACTTTTGTATTATGTTTCACTGTATAACTGTGGTGATAGCTATATACTGTGCACCTTTTATGTACTGCCAGGTCAGTCTGGATGAGTATTTTACCACAATAAAGTTATATTTCCACATAGTTCTCATGAAAAAGTTCATTATATGAATGACTGCCCCAAGAAGTGCAGAAAGTGTATTGACTGTTCGGACTACATAGAGGTCTACCATGACCTGGAAATGGGGGCCTTCATAGAGCTGCATAATATGGTAAAAACCTAATTTTACAATTTGCATATTTCACTCGGCCATATTGTGATTTCAATAATACTGCAATAAATTGTGCAGCCCTAGTCCTGCAGCAGT